CCTGCAGCCCCCCAATTGTCCCCTCTCCCCAGATGGCAGCCTGCAGCAAGTGCAGCCGGTCTGATGGCCAAGTGCTGTGATGTGCCCAGTGTGGGCACTCAGGGCACTCCAAGCCAGGACTGCTTTGCAAGCGGGGCACCCCTTAGAACTGTCTGTCCGGGGTGGGGGTCGGGTCCCTTTACGCACAGCCCTCGGCTAGCCTGAGACAGCAGCTCCACGCTCTAAGTCCTCATCTGATGCCCTGCCGGCACTGCTTCCGGCCATCCTTAACCCCGGTTCAGTGTCCACTTAATGTGGACATGCTAGTTCGAATTAGCAAAACGCTAATTCGAACTAGTTTTTTATTCTGGATCCGTTAGTTCGAATTAGCGCTGTAGTGTAGACATACCCTAAGCATGTTTATATATCTATAAAGTCAGTTTCCAAAGACATTTTCAGCTGCATTACACAATATAATCATTTGTATCATGTTGTCTTTACTATATAAGCTCCGAAGAGAAGTGTACACAATAGTCACTCTTTTGGGTTGTGGCAAATTTAGGTTGTGGAAAAACTAAGAAGTAAAAATTGCAAACCAAAGAAGTCCAAAAAGGAATGGTTAATGTTAGAAAAAATAATGTTAGAAAAAAATATGCCCAATGTCTTTTGCCCAATAGACATTGCCTATTTATTATGCACTTGAAAGTGTGAAATTAGAACACACTCTAATCACATGTTTCTCCCAATTAAAATTGACCCTTGGGGATGTGACATTGAGTAGAGGCTGAGAATCTAATTAAGCTTGCAAAAGGTAACGTATTTTAAAATTAAAATAACTGAGTTACAGTTTTCTGTGCAAAGTTCAAATGGGCTTATTTGTTCACTATCTGAATAAACTATCCTTTCTCACAAAGAAATACAGAGAAGTGTTTACTAAGTCTTTGAACAAAACCAGATGAAATATTTATAGTCAACAAAGATATTTGAGAAAGTAAGAAAGTACAGTATTCCCCAATTCCCGCCACACTACTGAGAAAACATTAACTTGACATTTTCCTTTGCTTTCATTCCTGGGTTTTCACAAGAGTTGTTTTTTTGTTGTTGTTTTTTTGTCTGGGGTCAAATATTCATGTTGCGGACCAAATTCTCACCCTTTAATTGCTTGCACGTGGGTTTAAGGGTTATCTGCAGGCAAAAAAATCATTGACCTGCAGGCATTTAAATGAATTGATTAAATTGCAGGCAAAAATATCAGAATTTGGCCTTCTTGAGTTACTGATGCAACCAGGTCAGTATGTTCAAAGCAGCCTAGTTAATTTAGATGGCTTTTAGACTTTCATCCTGTGTATGGACAAGGCACTGGGAGCTAAACTCGAGCTCCCAGGCAAGACTGAAACGATGCAACTCTGAAATACAGATCGCCATTGCGAGGGATTTAGAAATGCAGGAAATATTTCATGTTAACTGCTGCTAAGTAATGACACTTCCATGGTTACTAACATGGAATAAATGCTGTTGATGGCAGAATTGCTGTAGTTGCAGAGCTATAAAACCTCTCTCTCTCTCTCTCTTGGGGGAGGTGGCGTTGGAGTTGTTTTTATCTCCCTTCTTTGAGAATACTCTGATTTATTGCTGTGATAAGCCTGTAACAACGGAGGGATCACAACGTTGAAGTGAGCTTAGCTGGATGCGATGCACAGTCTGCTGAAAAATCATATTTGTTGAATATGTTTCAGCCAAGAGGCAGCTTTTACCAACCTAGGAATATTCCATTTTCTATAGAGTGGTTGGAGTTCATCATGATCTGAGGCACTTTGTCAGACGTGTCTTTCCTTTTGGTCTGCCTAAGGCACTTCTTAATAATATCATCAGGGCACGTGATAGTTTTTAATGTATTTACCCTCACAACATCTCTGTGAGGAAGGGAAGAGCTTTTATAAATATTTTACATATGGAGAGTTGAGGCAGGAGAAGCTAAGTGGATTTCCCAAGGTCACATAGGAACTCTGTTGCAAAGTTAGGAATAGAACACAGATCACCCACTAGTTCCCTGACCACTGGACTATCCTTCCTCCTCAGGCTAATCATACTGTTCATACTGCCTTGTCAATACCTTGGTTTATGGATTGAAATTCCCTCTAAACATGTAAACAATTCAAAACCAGAGTCGACGGTGCAATTCATAGTCACATTTTGTGTCGTCTGTGTGCAGATGGCATTGGGATTTCAGGGCCACTGTAAGTATTAGCCTAGCATTATCATTATGTAGGTTTCTCACTGAGATCTGAATCCGCGGCACAGTTTTGGGTACTCTCAAATCCCACTGAAATAAAAGGCAGCTGAGTGTGACTAGCGCTTCACAAGAGGAACTCAGCTCTGTGTGGTTCTTCAAGACTTGGCTCTGTATGGTTCTTTTTAAGTTATTGCCAAGAGAATTTTTAATTTCTGGAGTGTCATATATGCTGTGTTTCCATTAGACTCAAATAATGTTTGGACTACTACATATCCAGGGCAGTGTGAGCTAGGAGATAATGTAGGAGACGAATGATTGAGAGACCTGATACCAAGCCACAGTTTTCAATCTAGAATACCTAAATTCAGACCTCCTCAATCTGTACTGAGGCTCATGATATAGGTGGCCCATTCGTAGCTGCAGGCACTCAGCTCCTTTGAAAATCAGACCACATATTGAAGAGAACCTGGCATTGAAAATTTTAGCCTTAACTTTACTGTGCCTCAGTTTCTCCATTTGTAAAGTGGAAATAACAACACCCACCTTTGTAATATACTTTGAGCTCTTGGCATGAATGGTGCCACTTAAAACGCTAGTCTTAGTAACAAATTTATGAGACGAGATGTTGAAAATTCATCCTGTTCATTCTTCCTTATACTTGCAGAAGCACTGAAACATATGGCAAATTAAGTCTGATTTTTATTAAAGTTTTCATCTGTTTTGAGCTTAGTGTGAACTGGGAAATTCACTTTCTTTGATTTATTGAGGCTTTGTATGAGTGTCTTAATTAGAAGATGTTAATGTTTCTTTTCTATTCCTGGGAGCATGTAGTAGCTCCCTCTTGTGGCTAATTAAACATTTAAAACCCCAAACTTTTTAAAAATGATTTTTGTTTTTGAAATCCTGTCACTGCCAGTCCTAAACAATAACAGTCAGGTGAAATTGATACTTCCGTTGATCCATAGTCTTGTTAGTAGGGTTTGCTTGTTACAGTGGTTTGTTCTAGAATGGACTAGCATTTGGAAGGGGTAAGAAGGCAGAGGTGGTAGGTTTGACTGGAATTTGCATGTGTTGACCTGATGGCAGAATCAGTTCCTTCTCCTCCTCCCCCCCCCAAAAAAAATGGGGTACAGAGATCAGAAGAACAGCAGCTCTCTCATTTCCTAAGAAAATGACAAAACTGGGATCCAAGACTCAGCTAGGGAGGAAGGATAGCAGGTTTCCAGAGGTGCCTAAAGAAATCCTGGCCCCAGGCAAAACTAACCTGTTTTTAGGCCTCATATAAAACTACCTTAGTTTTTCCATAAAGTTCCTTGAACTTCAGGAAGCGTAATGAATCCTACCATGTTTCACAACCTGAAACCAAGCAGGTTTTGCCTGATTGTTAGTTGGTAGAGAGAGCTGCATGGACATAGCCTGACTCTGTGTTTTGCCTTGGCATATTCCGAATTGGCTCTCAGTTGTGGGAAAATCTATTTATGCTCCTGAGAAAGAGGAGAAGACCAGATAAAACAGTCTTATAACACTGAAATTCTGCACCCCCAACTCCTGGAAGAAAATCCACTTTTTGAGACGAGAAACTTTATCTCTTGAATTTGTTCTTGCAGTGTATTTTCTTGTGACAATTTTTCTTTAAAAAAAAAGAGTGCATAGTTTACTGAAAAATCATATTGCCCAATAATCAGCAAGCTGGTGGCGCTGGACCCACAACAACAGGGCAACAAATAATGTTCATTTTCTCAGGGACATTATTAAACATTCTTTGCATTTATTGCCTCCAAAAGGGAGTGGATCCAGCATTCCTAAAACTTGCTTTTTCTTTGTTTTTTTCTTTTCCTGAGCTATGACTCAGATAACACTGACTTAATATTTCTGTGGAAACATACAAAATGTTGGAAACAAAAATAACATGAAAACAGCGGTAGGAAAGAATGATTTGGCAAGATTGTCATCCTAACACAACAAGATTAGTTTATAATCCCTTTATATCCTAGTGTGCAAATACAAGTTTGCAAAGCATCTAGCTTGTAAGAAACTTCACATGCTGCTGCCATGTGGAACATGCCTGAAAAAAGGATTTATAGACACTCTCTAATGGAGAAAAAGGGAATCTGAGTCAAGAACAAACACATGAAACAAACAGGAATTCCATTTGTCTAGCTAAGCAATGTCCTAGCCAGGGCACCCAAATATTTAATTAGGCGGATTTTCCATGCTTTAAAACTGGGTGGGGATGGGGGGTGAAACAGTTCCAATCTCACTTAAAACTTCTTTGAAAGAAATTAGGAATCATTGTGTGTAGGTGGCTGCTTCTGAGATTATTTTAACTATTTACAGTGGAGTCAATTCTCTAAATTTTGTCCTCCTTAAATGGAATGTCTAGGGGGGGCGAGGAGAGAGGGGGGAGGGTGGGTTTCCAGCTAAATGAAAAATCAAATCAACTCACAACCCCTAGTGGTAGGCAAGTGCTGTAGTGAATAGTGCAGGCAGGATAATAGCAGCATGGATAATTGGAGTTCCTCTTGCAGGGGGCAGGAAGATAGATTAATAACTAACTGACTGTTGAGCTAATCCTATTGGTATCAAGTTTTGTCAGGGTTAGATACTAAAATTTCACTCTGATTTCTGACTAATTTAAACCATGTTTTTATGTCTTCCTTTTAAATGTCAAGAAATAGTTTTGCATTAGGGTAAGACTTAGCATTGTTTCCTCTTGAACTGCTACATTTATAAGAGTTTTGATCAGTTCAGTCAAACTGGGTCCTAACTTGCTACATTCACCTCACAGGTTATCAACAGCGATGGAACGGAGGGATCAAAGTTTCGACTTTCTGGAAAGGGAGTGGATCAAGAGCCAAAAGGAGCATTCAAAATTAATGAGAACACCGGGGAAGTCTTGGTGACACGGTCCCTTGATAGAGAAGCAATTCCCACTTACCAAGTGAGTAGTCTGAGCATTATGGTCTGTACCTCTGTCATCACAAAATATCTATTTTTCCTCCATCTCTGGCTTGCCGCTTTCTAAGAGTGCAAAAAGTTTGAGGTTGGATTATTATTGCATGCTACTATTTCTATAATATTTTCAGAACATGGACACTTGCATGTGAAGTTTCGGGACACATATCCATACCCACCTACATGCATGAGTACTAAACACATTTAGTATCTCTAAATAAGCGGAGATCTAGATTAGTAAAGCTTGCTTTTTCTTTCCTGTTCCCGAGGTATGAGTCAGATCTGCTGATAAATATTTGTGTTTTATATGTAGCAAATCTATCTTTTATATCTCCTAGAGACAATTGGTTTAAACTGTGCAGGAAGTTGGCTTGTGAAGACAAAATTAGTGGGACTTGTTTTGGTGCCTTTTGACACCTTTTCTTTGTTTTCATTTTATTTTATTGTTCGGTGAGGTGGCATGTCTGAACTTCACCTGGTGCCGTAAGAGTCGATGGCAGGACTGTTGGCTTCAAGCTGTGTTTGGGGTGTTGCAGGCTGATGCCCATTAGTACTCTTCACTCTCTCTGTTTGAGGGACGCATCAGAAACAGGTGACTGACCAGCTATGGCTTGAAAAGAAGAGTGAAACAGCAGAGAGAAGAGTGTCTTAGATCAGGAGCCATGGTAGTTCTCTGAAAGTGAGGTGAGTCAGGGGAGCCTGTACCATGGCCCTGCCCACGTGTCCTCTTTCCTCTTCCAGCCCCGCCTCCTGCTCATTCTTCTTCACCCTGTCATTCGTGCTTATGGCTGGTAAAAAGTGGGAGGGGCCATGCTCCGCTTCCCCCGTTCTGGCACTCCTGCCTTAGATCCTTTCTCTGGGCAGTTGATTTTGGCCTAGCAGTGGAGGCTGATCAGTTAGTGCAAGGGAGCACCTTGGCCACTCCCCCCAGGAGTGTTCTCCCAGCATTGCCTGCTGACTGGGATCTCCTCGTCCAGAGCAGTCCTTCAAAAACTAGACCCGCTTGGAGCACTCTTGGCCTCTGATGCTTCAGAAGAGGTGGCTTGAATATTCTCAAATCCACAATGTGGGTCTGTGGCAAACGTAAGCCACTCCAGTATCGAAGTCAGGGAGTGCCCTTCAACTAGCTGCTCGCTGGTATCATCCCAGGGAAGTTCTCTTAGGACTAAGCCATTGGCTCTGTGCCTACCCTAGAAACATCAAGGTCAGTTACTTCATCTCTGGCCACAGTAAATCTATCAACCCCTGCTTACTCTGGGAAAGCATGCTATATCAGTACCAACAAAGCCAGAGGCCTAGATGGCCACAAAGACTCTGTTGTGGCTCTCAGTACTGCCTTCACCACTAATTCAAAATAAGGGCTACCTATTCTGCCATAGCATCAATGCTGGTGTCTTTTACAGCATCCATTTCAGATCGAGTGCTGTTTTCCTCAGTCTTTTTGATTATATCATCTAGCTCGCTAGGGCCTGCTCCATTTCCACTTAATGCCAACTGCCAGGAAGCCTCCGATGCTTTTGCTGGTACTTCAGTCCGCATGCCGGTTCCAGTCTCTGGTGCTGTATCAATATGGCCTTTAAAGAACTGTTTCTTCTTCTCAGACTCTGAAATGAGTTCCTGGGTTTTGGACTTCAGAAAATCCAGAGTATCTTCCATTACTTTGACAAGAGCAGGTAATAGAACTGGAGTCCTGGTCTAGGTATGACTGACCTTTAGTACCAGATCAATCCAATCACCGGTTCTCCTGGGTGCCTTGGAAAGGGTACCTCCACTGTTGAGATTTACATCCCCACCTCCTGATAAAACCGGGTCACCAAGGAAGGAGGCTTCCTCACCCAAGATGCTCATAGTACTGAACAGTCACCAGACTCTGAATTGTGGGATGTTCCTCAATCTGCCTCAGAGAAACTGTCTAAGTCAGTGATACAAGACAAGCCTCAAAAGGGTCCTGCTTTATCTCCTTTCAGTAACTCATTCTCATCACCAGGTGAGGCTCTGGTAATGGGTAAGTTTAAGGTTTACCGAGCTCTCTGAAAAAAATGGGTACATCTCTTGGTATGCAGATAGAGTTGAATATTTTGCACCCAACAAATGCTGGAAAAGTAGTTGTAAGGGCTGTTCCCCACTCTGGCACTCTGAGTGCAGAAGGTGGGGGCCCGCAAGAGAGCTTCAAAACCTTGCCTCTACAGGCACCGGTTACAAAAAACTTCCCCCCAGAACCATAATACACAGATTTTGGGGAGTTACTGCTACCATCAAGTGCTTTTTTATTCCTAAAAAACAGGAGTGAACACTTGAAACCACCCCCAGGGGTACCTGAAGCTCTTTTGCCACAAAAGAGCTTGAAAAAAGAAAAGAGAGGAACAAGCTGCAGTCTCTGGTAGCTGACCCCTCAATCAGAGGCCTGCCGCTACCCACAGACAGACCTTCCAGGACACAAAAATCAAATCATCACCTTAAAAAAAGTTGTTTTCATTACACAACAAAAGATAAACTTGACAAAGCATACTTGATTGCTAGATGTTACAAAGCAACTAAGGAGAATAAATTAAAACACAAAGAAAATCTCTGGCTCCAATGCTTAGATGGTAAAGGGGGAGGGGAGAGATAGATTCACACAAAGCAGTTCAAACCAAACCACAAAATAAAGAAAAATTACCCTGAACGGGACTGGATTTACAGAATAAATTAAAACACAAAGAAAATCTCTGGCTCCAATGCTTAGATGGTAAAGGGGGAGGGGAGAGATAGATTCACACAAAGCAGTTCAAACCAAACCACAAAATAAAGAAAAATTACCCTGAACGGGACTGGATTTACTTTTTCCCTTTACTTACTTCCAATTTTCTCTTTGTTCAGTCCACTCATGCCCCAAATTCCTTGAAGACATGGTAGTCCTGTCTGGTTTTAAATCATTCTGTGTCTCTCAACTCCTGGTTTATCCCTCCCACACTCAGAAAGCAGGCAAGGAATCTATATCCAATTCCAATTTCAACATTCTATCTCGATTGGTTCTCCCCACCCCCTGGCCAACACCTTTGCTAGCTACCTGAGTTTAACCTGTTAGTCACTGGGTGCTGGTCAGCACTCCTCCTGTCCATTACAGTAGTCCTTCTTATAAGCACTGGAATAAATTGCCTAGGGAGATTGTGGAATCTCCATCATTGGAGATATTTAAGAACAGGTTAGATACATCTGTCAGGGATGATCTAGATCTGGGGGGGGGGGCAAATATCAGACCAAGGGCAAGATCTGGTCCGCCAGGGTTAGCCCCAGCAGGCCCCCAGGCTGCTATATTTACGCTGGGTATAGGGGATCACAGCTCCTATTGGCAGCGAATCGCCATTCCTGGCAAATGGGAGCTGCGAGTGCCTGTACTTGTGGAGGCGCATGTAAATATAGGGGAATGGCCCACCAGGGGCTAACTCTGGTAAACTGCCACCATTTTATTGCCCACCCCGATCTAGATGGTGTTTGGTCCTGCCATGCGGGCAGGGGACTGGATTGATGACCTCTCAAGGTCCCTTCCAGTTCTAGTATTCAATGATGCTATAATAAATGAGGTGATAAGGCAGTGCATCAATTCTTTTGGCAAAATCCATCATCTGTTACACCTGTGGCAAAGCACACAGAGCATAAATAACATAGTTTTGAATAGTTCTATCTGCACTCCTCACTTTTTTTGCAAATATGTAAATGAACTAGACTTGTTTGGCAGAAAGATTCATTCAACTATGAGATTACAAGTTTTCAAAGACAGCTGCCAGGCTCCCTTGGCATAGTGATGCAATATCCATTTTTTGAACAAGCTGCCTGAAGACTCCAGGGTGAGTTCCAGTCCCTATGGAAGGCCTCTCAAACTTTGCAGGCTTTCCTGGATGCTGTCTGCTGAGCTGCAAGTGTCATGGTGAAGGCAGTGACGTTGCCATAGCTGCAGTTGTTGGCGATACTGGTAGAAATACCGCAGCCCATTGAAGGCAACGTGGTATACTCCTCCAAGATTGCTGAGACATGACATACACTGAAAAACTGCATGCTAGTGAAAAAGTCTGGTCACTGTCAAGATTCCATTCTCACTTACAGCCATGACAGCTGCACTAACTCTCCAGAAAGATGGACCAGTCCAGGCACACACAGACAACAAAAAAGGAGGCCTCCACCATCTTCCTCCTCAAGTAATTTCATCCTGGCAGTCACAGGCCTCAAAGCACTTTGTGTGACTCTTTCGTTGAGAATGACATACCACCAGCTCAAATTTTCTGACCTTTTTCCTCCCATTTGGTAAAGGCTGTCCTGTTACCTAAGTGCAAAAGAAACCATCATCATGGACAACTGAGTCTATAGCTTAGAGGAATGGAGATATACCCTAGTTTCTTTCTCTCTCCTCTTCCCACTCCACTCTACTGAATCCTGTTCTGGGACTCCTCTCACAGGTCTGTGTGCTAGGATAGTAGTGCTTTCTCTATGTTCTTCAGGAGCTACAGAGAAAGTATTTCATTGGCGGAGGGCATGAGATTCTACTTCCTAATATCCAAAGCCAGAGAGAGTCTCAGGGCCATTCTAGACATCATCAAAAATTGAAGTTTCCATGAGACGCTTGTGCATCGTTCTAAACCTATCCCCAAATCTCAGCAAGGAACTGCCTCAGGTTCCAGGGGCACATGATGGCATGTACTGATGTTACTCACCCCTCTCACTCCATCTCTATCTCAGATTAGGTGAATCATCTGGACAAATTAGTCTGCATCCCAGCCAAGGTATGCTTGTACATGGTGGATGAACCAAGACAATGACTGCAGGGTCACCGATTCTCCCTTTTATTTCCCTGAGGACATTTACTTCCACTATGCAGTGTGAGTGTTATTTGGGTCCTCTGCAAGCTCAGTGTGGTCCACTCATGAAGGTGAATACGTAACTGCTCTTGAATGGTGTGCACTGTCGGGAATATGCCAGAAGTTCCCACCAAACATAAGTGCTCGCCAACAA